TCGAGAAGGGTCTAGATTGAAAATTTAGCTATTAATTTCGATTTCGTGAGCATATTTTGGTTACACGTTAAATATTTTTGTACTTGATGAGATTCAAAATTTGTTGTATATTCAAGCCCGGTTTTAGTGTAATTTTGGTGATGACCGGAACAGAAATAAAGATATTTTAAAAACTGGCCGTGGCCTCACGATAAAACTTTCTGAAAGTGTTCTCTCTTTCATGTATTTTTATTTGATATATTAGGCATAAGCGTAAAAATAGGGGCTCATACAGTTTACGAGGTTGTAAAATGCATGACTTGCCTCTATTTTCATGTAAACATTCGAAATTTTTCGACAGCATAGTAGCGACTGTTTCAGATCGAATGCACACGGACAGCCCACCAGAGACAATGGCAGGGTACTGAAATAGAACGTCACTAAAAAATTCTGTATGATTAATTTAGATCATGTCCATTTTCAACATAAAACAGTCATTTATTTTGTACAAACATTTGGCAATATTTACACGATTGTGCCTTTTTGTAAACACGCGTTGCGTGTATTCCACGCAATTGTGTTTTTCAATTTGCTCGCGCATGCTCAGACAAATTTCCCACCTGTTGGGCGGAAGGCGCTTTGACAACATTTTCATCAGACCTACGTTTCGCCCTTTCCGTCTACGAAATTTACTGCGGGTGAAACGTGGGTCTGTTATCAGGCTAGGGGATTCCCTGCCCCCCTGCAGTGTTCCTGGAATTCGTCACAGTGATTTGCGCATGCCCAAAGCTAGCCTGCGTAGCAGGCGTTTAGAGCGGGCGGGAGAAGAGAGGGCGTCGTTAAATACGGCCTGCCCAAATGCCTATAGCCTGCAAATACAGCCGGCCTGATTCACTCCTTCGTCGTGATAAGTCCGTCTGCGAAATAACCGCAAACATTCCATACTCATGACGCCATATGACCTGTTCTGGTCATCGCTTCTGATTGGCTAGTTTATAATTACCGCATAATTTAGTGCAAGAACGATAATTGCTGGCGAAGGCAGCTCACTATTCTTAACATGAAGTATCGCGTTTACTTGTGTCCAGTCTCTTTGCCCGAGCTATGTATTGTCGAGATCTCGATTTTGTGTGTGTGTGTGTGTGTGTCTGTCTGTATGTAGCCTGCGTGGCAGGCTCAGAATAAAGAGAGCCTGCAACAATCTCAAGGAAATTTGGTATTTCGGGGCCGTGAGCTGGTCTCAAAAACCCTATTGGTTGAAATCATAATGTATGCCAAAATGCGCATCAATCATTGTAGCCTGCTCGCAGGCCGTTGTCTACAATTATTGTGGCGCAATTTTTATACGCTATCAATAAAAGCGTATATTGGCGTAAAATTTTGAAAGAGTGCTGTGAATTTGGGTTTTAAACTAAAAACTGAACAGTGGGAAATCGTTGATATGTTTTGGCAGGTTTTCTCATTGGATATCTGCCTTGACAAGTCAAAAAGCACGCATGGATACAAACCCATGTACGTGTTGATACTTCTCTAAATAATACAGTAGCTATACCCGATCAATTTGAAAATACTGATTTTGAGAAATTATGTATCCAATTAAATACATGTCGCTATATGTATTTATGAAACTTACTACTCGATCTGCAAACGTTGCTTTTATCGGTTATTATGAGTTTTACAGCAGACTACAAACTACAGTGCAATTTAGCTTGTATTGTGATATATTTTATAGTTTAAGAGTTTGTTTTTGTCAATTTGTAAACGTTTATACTGTTCAGTCGTGAGCCGTTGCAATTTTGAAACATATATTCGCTCATAGCTGGTCACTATATGTATGATCTTGAAATTTATTGTAATGTTTGGACCTAAGATGGTATTATCTTCCTTTTGATATAAATATATTTTTGAGTTCCGTTCATTATTAATACGTAAAAATAGTCTGTTGAGTCGACATCTGGACTGAAGTATCAAGTCAAAATGTTTTGTTCTAGTGAATTGTATCACATCGAAATGTACCAAACCGACATCGCCGGTGTAAATTCTGTTTTATTTACTCCAAAAGTAATTTAAACTGCCAATTTTTTTAAAGTTTGAATTCTCGAGCCATTCTATATGAACTACAATAGTAATAAATTAAAGTATATTTATAGTTATTACCATACTCACACTGAATCACGCACACGGATTTCAGAAAATATGATTGGTTGGATTGGAAATAAATTATCATAGTAATTAGTGGGCGGTTATCAAATTTCCTTGAGAATATTGTTGCAGGCTCTCTCTCCTTGAGCCTGCCACGCAGGCTAGTCTGTATGTAAAGATGTCGTAATTCCGGGGAAATAATTAAGGCTTCAGGAAGTTTTTTAAACGAGGGGGGCGGTCAAACTTTACTTTGTCTATGACTTTGTATTGCACACGGATCAAGTTCTTCTCAAGGACAGTTATGAGCTTATTTTCATGATGCAAACATGGACTATATTTTCAATAATTCAGGTAAGGTAGCTTTATTTCTTTTTGGTAATATACATAAAGGCATTTTATATATATATATATATATATATATATATATATATATATATATATATATATATATATATATATATATATATATATATATATATATATATATATATATATATATATATATATAATATGTTTAGAACACTATGATTTCATGAATTTAGATTCAGCATGAATTTATCATGCATTTCAGAATTAACCCGCACTTAGTGATCGTCTTTATAGTTAATATACAAGTAATCAAAATCTACTTTTAGTTTATTTGTTTTATGTGGTGATTTCCAAAGGCGATGAGTTTATAGTGTTTATTCTACATGTTTATAGCAATGTGCTTCAGCCATTTCATTTCATTTATTTTATTTTATTTTATTTTATTTTATTTTACAATCTTTGTCACATGACCGGTTTAACCCACAGAGCTAGTTGCTCCTTTACGGGTAACCTGCTAACGCAATACTGAAATATAGGTTAACACAGTGGATATATCGCTTCAAAATCGCTAATCACTGAGACGTTTGATTTAATGTGGTCCTGAGCAATTCTAATCATGTGGATCGAAAAAACGAATTTAATTTAAATTTCACATGCTCACTAACAAATGATATTTCCATTGGGTTAACAGCAACTAATGACAACACAGTTTGACAGAAAGACTGGACAAGGGACGACGTACAAATGACACTTTACACACACTGTTTTAAACGTTTGTCAGTGGAACATCAATGTCGTAGACCTCTTCAACAAGTTTTTGGTAATATTTAAATAGGCCGCATTTATATTGACTGATTGAGAGATTTGACTGCCGTAAGTGTGATGGTAAACAGTTAAAAGTCCTGGGTGATCTGCAGTAATAACTGTTCTGAAATGTTAAAGTGTTTACTCTAGGAACTTGTAATATAATTTTTGCTATTCCATTATTTTCTCTCGTCAACCGATCTGTTGTCTTTACATGGAGATTATGGTCATTCGATAGAACTAAAGGCTTATTTCCACTGTTGCGTTTTTCGTACGCACGTACACGCACGTAAAACTTTGAGTCCTACTATTTTTTAAATACTTTACAAATAAGTTAACAAATGCATACTAAAACTTGCGGAACACTAAATTCTGTTGCTTTATTTATTTGGTTATCTCATAAGTAACATTTAAACGGATTTAAAGTTTTACGTGCGTATACGTACGTATGAAAAACGCAACAGTGGAAATCAGCCTTAACGCTTTGTAAATTAAGGTAGACCATATCCAGGAATTCATGCCAGTATGTTAATGGTAGTAAAGCACTTTTGACAAGTCTATCTTTGTATGATACTCATGACAAGAATGGCAGTGATAAAATGTATCTGGTGGCGCGACGTTGGACGTTTTCTACTTGAAGGATAGTCTCACATGTGATACCGACTGTGGTGACCAAATTTGTGTGCAATATGCCATCTGGCTTCGCACCACTGTCTTGTAAAGCGCAAGGCGGGTTTTCTCGTTGCGAATGTCCATTAAAAATTAATGATTTCAGCACGTTTCAAAAACAAACGTGGAATGTTGTGTGGCAGGGCTTAATATTATAAATATTAAAATATATCCCTATAGCAATCCAGTGTGGATTGTTGTCTGCAAGGACGGATTTTCATTTTATAAAAGGAGGGGTGGCCAAACATTTTCTACCCTGGTTTCAGAGGTTTATTTTTATTATTTTCATTGCGAAGGGCGGAGGAAAAATAAACCTCTGGTTGAAAGCGGCAATTGATTCATCGAGCCACGCCAATCAGTTTGAATTAGGGTCAGGTCCTGACTCTGTCTCCTGATTGGATGATTGTATTAAAGCTCTCTTATTGGTTATAGATGTTTTATTTGAATCAATCAGAAAGCGTTAATACAATCATCCAATCAGGAGACAGAGTAAAATAATAACAATAAAACATCTATTAGCAATAAGAGAGCTTTAATACAATCATCCAATCAGGAGACGGAGTCAGGACCTGACCCTAATTCAAACTGATTGGCGCGGCTCGATGAATCAATTGCCCCTTTCAACCAGAGTTTTATTTTAAACCTCTGGAACCAGGGTAAACATTTTCTTCATTCTGCACATGTTGTAGCTTTTTTAGTTGGAACTTGGGAACCCCATAGAGTAAGGAGTTACAATAGTCCAATTTGGAACTGATAAAAGCATGAACAAGGATTTCGGTAGATTTTGGAGTTAGGAATTTCCTTATTCTTGCAATATTCCGCAAGTGATAGAAGGCTCCTTTGCAAACAGAGTTAATTTGTGGTATCATAGTCATGTTTTTATCAAATATCACGCCAATATTCCTTGCCATATCTGAAGGAGTAATGATATCATACCACAGTTTAGAGAAAACACTGGTGATGGGCGATAGCGAGAATGGGTAACCAGGAGTTCAGTCTTATCTCCATTGAGTTTGAGTTTATTTAGCAGCATCCATGTCTTTATATCAGCAAGGCAGTCTTCAATACGTTGGGCCGTAGAACTTAAATCATGTTCATCATTGCATGCAAATGAAGTATATAACTGGGTGTCGTCTGCATAGAAATGAAATAGCATGTTATGACGCCGTAGAATATCAGCCAAGGGTGATGTATAGAGTACATACAAAATTGGGCCAAGCACAGAACCCTGAGGAACACCACATGTCATGTTGCGTGTTTCAGACTTAGAACCATCAATATTCACGAACTGAGAGCGATTAGTCAAGAACAATCGAAGCCAATCCAAGGCTTTTCCTTTTATGCCAAATCTAGTTCTTAAACGGTGAATCAAAATTTCATGGTCTACTGTGTCAAATGCAGAAGACAGATCGAGGAGTAGAAGTACAACACAGTTGTGACTATCCAAAGCACGTAGGATATCGTTCTGTACTCTAATCAGAGCAGTTTCACAACTATGGTATCGTTTATATGCAGATTGGAATGGTTCATGTAGGTTGTTTTCGTCAAGGTAACTGATTAAACGAGAGGCTACGGTCTTTTCAATCACCTTAGAGACCATCTTAAGATTCGATATCGGTCTGAAATTAACAAATTCCTGATAATCCAATGAAGGTTTCTTTAAGGTCGGAGATAACACAGCCTTTTTCAAAGTAGATGGCATATGACCTGATTCCAATGATAAATTGACAATTTTACAAATAACTGGTAGAAGATCATTTATTTGAGGAATAAGTAATTTAGCTGGTAATGGGTCAAGGACACATGATTTGGACGCGATGGGATATATTAAATTTGATAATTCATCCACAGTGGTTGGTGGGAAGGTAAACAGCTCCGACTCAGGGGGGAGGGAAGTATCACATTCTGGTAGATGAATCAGAGCGGGTTCGTCATTGGCTAATTCCTCCCTAATGTTGACAATTTTGTTGGTGAAAAAGTTGTTAAATTGGGTTGACAGTTCGTTGAGCGACTCACATGACGGATAGAATTTCTCAGCACGTCTATGGAGGAGACGATCAATAGTGTGAAACAGTTTCTTATTGTCTGATCCCGCTTCCTCAATCAAGGAAGAATAATAATTCGCTTTTGCAGTATTAACTAATTCTTTGACCAATAGACACTGATTAATGTAAACCTGTAGATCAACTTGGAGACCAGAACGACGCCAGCATCGTTCGAACTTGCGCCTCTTCGATTTTTGCACTGCAATATCCTCATTGTACCAAGGAGCTGCTGGTCGTTGGATGACGGTTTTAGTCAATAGTGGCGCATGATCATCAAGGATTGAAGATAAAACCTTGTCATATTGGTCACAAAGTTCCGAAAGAACAGGCTGAGGCGATAGGTATAGTGACGAGTTGATTATGTCATTGCGCAGCTTTTCTGTGTTAATTGATCGAATTTTCCTGCATGTTACAATTTTCTTAATTTTAGTAGGTTTAGCCAAATTCAAGTTACAATGTAAAACAAAGTGATCTGAAATGACAGGATCATTGACAGATAAATTGCAGACAGTCTCTTCATCTGATCTGGTGACAATGAGATCCAAAGTGTTACTATTTTTATGTGTTGGCGTGCTAATGTGCTGTATAAGATTGAACGAGTCAAGTAAGTCCAGACACTTAAGAGCAGTTGCATCAGTTGTATCGTTAACATGGATATTAAAGTCCCCGGTTATGAGCAATTTACCAGAGGAAGATACCAATAACTCCAGGAGAGATGAAAATTCATCAAAGAACAAGTTAACTGTAAAACCATTAATTGATGATGGGGGAGGGCGGTAGATTACCACAATACGTGTAGTCACGGAGTTCTTATGAAGCAGTAATTGCATCAGCTCAAATGATTTAAATGATTTTTCGGTCTTAAGTTTTTTAATTTTTAAGGAGTGCTTAAATATAATGCCAACTCCCCCACCAGAGCCAAATTCCCTTGGAACATGGGAAAATACATAACCTGAAGGACAAATATCACGCGTTGTAAATTCACAATTATCATGACCTTTAAGCCAAGTTTCTGTGAGAGCCATAATATCTATATCATTATCCACAGTGTAATCTTTGATTTGTAGTGTTTTGTTCTTTATTGATCTAGCATTTAGGACAGCAAGTTGAAGCAATTTTAAACCAGGCTTGTTTGTAAATTGAATTGGTGTTCGCTGAACTGGAATTAAGTTATACAAATTGCGACTCTTGTTCTCTGACCTGTATCTTGCATGATAATGACTATAATGGCGCTTCGCTGTATAAAATCTATTTGAGACGATAGCTTCAATATTATAACAGCCATTTTCACCCGATCGAAAGATGTCAATGCCAACACTATATGTAGGGCTTGATATAGAACCAGTTATGGTTTTACTTAGCTGATCTTTGTTCCAACATCCCATTGGTAACGACTGCTCTCCAGTATGAAAATTCCGATTAGTTAGTGTTCTTGTCTGCTGAGAAAGATTTTCCATTACCCTTGTTGGTCCTGGGTTTAAAGCAATATCCTGATAAATGGTAACATCCAACGGTGGATCATGTCCCGGTATATGCAATGATATTAAGCCATGTTTACAGTATTTATTCACCACTAGCCGTGATTTAAAATATCCATTCGAGGCCAGTGTTATTCGGCATCTTTTACATAACGTGATAACAAATATATGTCCAGATTCCAGATCATACAGGCTTCGCTTAGTAGCATTCAACAGTGAAGCTTGTAAAGTAATCGTAGATTTTCTAATTGGTGACTTTACAGAAATGAGAAGTACGAAATACGACAGAAATAATACAAAATTTATAGAGTATAACCCATTGATGATATTATATTAACAAGATGATATTATATTAACAAGAAAAATAGATTAACTGTTCAAGATCTTTTTAAGAGAAACCGGTATTGTTCAGGCATATGTTTCGAGTTATTGTCAGCATTAGTTGTAATCGCATGCAGTGTGCCAACTTTCGAGGGTTGATCTATGACTGCAGACTGGCAGTCGAAAGCTCGTTTCAATAAATTTTTATAAACCAGAGAACGTCCAAACTATTAATATGAATAATCCTGGTTACGCTTCTACCATTTTTAAGATGTTAAGAAGTAAGTGAAAATGTGAATTTTGTGAATTATATTTTCATTAAAATGTTTCAGAAGGGCTGCTAATACCAAACTACAAGTGTGATAGAGCTGTCAATATACCCATAGTTCAATGTTTATGTTGAAATGACCCATCTTTTTTGAGGTATAGCTTAAAATTTAGGGTATGCTCATCACTTGAAACTAGTTTTAAATCAAAGTTTTACCTATAGTCTTTTTATTAGAATTAAAATCATTCATGGGAAAAATGTGCCAAAGGGTTGAAATTGTCCTTGTAAATGTGCACTATTTTTGACATGTTTGGGTTAGTATTTTGAAAAGGTGTTCTGGAAGGAAAATAATTATGTCTTGAACAATACTGGTTGACCCTTAAATTATAACTAGTGTCATGTAATTCACAGAAAATTGAAAAAAAAATCTGGTCCATACAGAATATTTTGGATTCTATAAGGTCCTGAATGGGGCTTATTTCAGTGTTGAATCTGTTTACCTGGAATAAGTCAAGAATTTGACTATCCTCATCATTCCAAACCAGGTTTTTCTAATTGCTTTTTCACCTGGGTTTGTGGCAATACCAGTTATGCGACCACGAAAAATGCGCGCGGCACATTTTTTGGACACTGAAGATGGTGACATTTGATGTTGTCATATATTGACATCCTCTTATCATAGCATAACTTAGCTTATTTTAGTGAGTTTGAAAAAGAGTTGTGCTCATTATATGCCTGTAGCATCTAAGATTTTTCCATGGCATTATATGATAAATTTAGTTTCTGTTTTCTTTTAGTTTTAGGTGATAGTATATGTTCATTTGAGTGTTGGTATCAAATTTTGGTCAAGTATCAATTATTATTTTATATTCCTTTATTGAAATATCCAAATAAATGGAATATGACATCAAGCTGGAGGACTATATATCCTGTTCAGTTCCAAACTTGTTTTTGTAAAAATAGAATATAACAATTTATTCTATCTTTAATCTTGTTTCTAAAACTTTCACCTTTGTTGTTCATAACTTATTACTTATTTTTATTTCTCAAGGATTTATACAAAAGGTTAATTTAATTTAATTTGCAACGTTTCGGACATTTTAAATGTCCGTCTTCAGGCGACAATTGTTGTTAATGTTATCATAGAATATATAATAGACCAGAAGCCTCACTGTAGACCTTTCCTTAAGGAAAGGTGTACAGTGAGGCTTCTAGTCTATTATATATTCTATGATAACATTAACAACAATTGTCGCCTGAAGACGGACATTTAAAATGTCCGAAACGTTGCAAATTAAATTAAATTAACCTTTTGTATAAATCCTTGAGAAATAAAAATAAGTAATAAGTTATTCTATCTTGTTGTAATAAAAGCTATTGTTTTTATCTGCATATTGAATTTTTAAAATTACATTTCATTCTTTGTTAAAATGTGTACCGGGAATACTGAAATCTTTCAGATCACACTGTCCACATGTCGCCATATTGATTTCCTTCGCGCATGCTCAGACAAATTGCCCACCTGCATGTTCTCAGTTATCGTTCCTGTCTTATTAAAGCCCAGGTCACACTGTCCACACTGTACAACGATAACGATACGATAACTTGTATACGCGCGCTGATTGATCAAATATTTATCGTTATCGCGTTCGACTGAAAAAAAAAATCGCTCGGGTGAGCGATTTTAAAATCGTTATCGTTATCGTCTAACGATAATTTTATTATTTTCGTTGTAGTATGGACACTAACACAATTTTTTTGCCAATTATCGCGTGTTTACAATTTATCGTATCGTTATCGTTATCGTTATCATTGTGTAGTGTGACCGGACCTTAAGCCTGGTTCACACGATGAAATAAGCATAAGCACAAGCAGCGGAACCTTGTGCATGAAATAAAATGTTGATTACTTCTGATAAACTTCGATAAATGTTGATTATTTTCTTGATAAACCTCGATCAGAACTTCAAAACATACAGATTACAAAAACAGCACATTGCGCCATCATTACGTCCTGCATAATTTCTACGTCATGCATAATTTATCGCGATAATGTCAATTATTTTCTACACACTCCCCCCTTGATTGACCAAGGTCAATCAACTGTCCATTGTCATTAATCAATAAATGTCAACACAATGTCTCGTAGCTTAATTAACAGATCAATGTTTACAATCAAGTATTAAAGTTTTGTATTGCATTAGGCACATTGTCTCGAACGAACTTTATCTGTGGAACAGTCTCTGGGTTTTTCGTAGGAATTTCTATTGGATACAATCGTTGAATCGGTCTTTGTAGTTGCTGCACTCGACCTCCAGACGATGTTCTAATAGTTGCTGCACGTACATTCCCGTCTCGACCACGCATTAAATCATCAACTCTACCGACTTTCCATAGCTGTCGAGGAATTTTATCTTCATGAACCACAACAATGTCCCCCTGGCTGATCGAATCACCTGCTGAACCATTCTTTACTTTGTGCTGTTCTCGTAGTTCCGTCAAATATTCCTTACGCCAGCGTTCCCAGAAATGATTTAATACTCGAGTCAGGAACCTCTCTCTCCTTCTTGCATCTTCAACTAGGTTGTCGTTGGTTTTCTTCTCCTGCGTTATTGGATTTAACAATCGTCGACCAACACACATGGTTGAAGGCGTGAGTGGTTCGCTCATTTCTTCGTGCACGTACGTGAGTGGACGTGAATTCAGAATTCCTTCCACTTGAATTAAAACAGTCTCGAATTCTTCAAAGGAAACACGAGCATTGCCGAGAGTCTTTTTCAAACATCGTTTGACACAGCGCACCAAGCGTTCAAAAAATCCACCCCACCATGGGGCACGAGCGACATTAAATTTCCAGGTGATACCATACTGCTGTACAAATTTCTTTACAGTAGAATTCTTGAAAGTCTTCCCATTGTCCGATACAAGGAAGCTAGGTACTCCGCGTCGTCCTATGAAACGCTGTAGACTTCGAACGAAAGCTTGCGCAGAAAGATCAGGAGTTAGTTCCAAATGAATGCCGCGTGTAGAGGCACATGTAAATAAGGCGATGTAAGCCTTGTACGTCGTCTTAGCTCGAGTATAAACATTCTTTACGTACACCGGACTTGCAAAGTCCACTCCCAACTGCGTATAAGCGAAGTCTTCGGACACTCTAAATCGAGGTAGTGGAGGTGGCAATGGTGCTCGGTAACATTTGCCTTCAATTCGTTTGCATGTAGTACATCTGGAAATTACCTTTCGAGCTTCCTGTCTTCCCTTAACTACCCAATACTTGGATCGTAATTCGACCAGTGTCTCGTTAACCCCATTGTGCATGACTCGGCTATGACATTTTCTAACGATCAGTGTTGTGATATGATGACCCCTTGGCAAAACTGCTGGATGACGTGTACAGTAAGGTAATCGAGTGAAATCCAGTCTTCCTTGCGATCTTAAAATTCCATACTCATCTTCGAACAGTCGCAACGACCTTTTTCTTGGCTTGAAATTAGGCTCTGCTCGAGAGTATCTCTGGGCGTCTTTTATCCACAAAATTTCTGCTTCGGACAATTCGATTTCGTCTAGCTCCAAGGATGATGGTCGGTGTTCTTTCATTTTCCGCACACTTTTTACGAAGCGAACCACGTAGCAGGTGACACGAACGAGTTTCTCATAATCGCTGTAATTCTGACAATCGATTAACTCGCCAATAGTTGATTTCTCATCCTGAACCAAGGTTGTAGACACAGATTGTATTTCTTCAAATTCGGGCAATTGAGCTGCGAAATTATCCCCTTGAAACTTGGTATTCTTTGGCCAGCCAGACTCGTCACCTTGCAGGAAGTCTGGACCACACCACCAACTACGCATTTCTTTCAATTCCGATGCAAGTGAACCACGAGAAAGAACGTCCGCGTGATTTTGGTCGGTTGGCACATGACGCCACGATTTCGGATCAATTAACTTCCTAATTTCTACAACTCGATTTTGAATAAACAGTTTATACTCTTTTCCCGTCCCTGTAATCCACCACAGGGCAATCTCTGAATCGAACCAACAGACAACGCGATCAATCTTGTATTTTCCTTCCAGTTCACGTCGAACATGTGACATTAATCTTGCAAGCACCAGCCCTGATAACAGTTCTAGCCTCGGAATTGTTTCTCCCCCTATGGGAGCGACTTTTGACTTGGATGCAACGAGTTGACACGAAACAAGCGTTCCTGTTCTGATACGAATATACACTACTCCTCCGTACGCTTTCTCCGAAGCGTCACCGAATCCGTGTAATTCTACTGATCTGATTTCCTTTCGATCAATCTGAGGGTTATAGCATCGATTCAAATCGACTGTCGAGGTTTCTTTCATATTAGTCAACGCGGATTTCCACGATTTCGCTGTCTCATCTTCGAGAACATCATCCCAGGTAATGTTCTTGTCCTTGCAAATGGCTTGAAACAGTATTTTAAGTACGGTCGTAATGGGGGACAAAAGTCCAAGAGGGTCGTACACCTTAGCGATTGAACTTAACACAATTCGTTTTGTAACTGATTCTTCTGTCAGATACATAGTCAGTCCGTCAAAACTGAATACCAACTTGTCGCTCTTTGTATTCCAGGTTATGCCGAGAACCTTTGGGAACTCTTCCTCAGGATTCGCTTGTGGTAAACCTGTCTTCGAGTAGCTCTGATCTTCTTCCCAATCCTCGCATGTCTTGGTCGCATCAGACCCTTCACTGCTGGCAATCTTCTTCCCCAATACGTCGCTGTTCATTTGCCATTTACGCATATTAAAACCTCCGTCCTTAAATCTTTTCTTCAACTTGTCGTACAATGAATAAGCCTCGGATACACTTGAGGCTGATGATGCGAAATCATCGACATACAACGATTTGAGCACTTCTTCAACGAAATCAGGATCTATATCCTTGTAGGAATTTATGTGGTGACTGATTGTTCCGTTTAACAGAAAAGGGCTCGAGTTAACCCCAAAGACGACTCTTGTGAATCTTCTGATAACAATTTCTGGATTGTCCTTTGTTATGTCGTCTATCCAAAGAAACCGTAGAAAATCTCGATCATCTGGTGCAATTGAGACATTTAAGAATGCCTTTTCAATATCGCTTGTGATGCCAATGGTCTGCAGGCGAAATCTCAATAGAATATCAAAGATTAATGGAGTGAGAGATGGCCCTGCATACAAACAGTCATTTAAACTTGGACCGTCCTTCTTTGCAGACGCATCGTACACGACACGAAGCTTAGTTGTCTTCTTATCCGCACGTAGAACCGCTCGGTGAGGCAGGTAGTGAATCCTTCTTGGTGAATCTTTCTTAGTGAATCTTTCTTCATTAGATACTGGTTCAATAATGTTGACTTGAAGTTGTTCCTGAATGACTTGATCATACTGTCTTAACAATTCTGGATTTGACTTAAGACGTCGCACAAGACTTTCCAATCTTGTCTTACTCAACTGATAGTTGTCTGGCAGTGGTGGATGGGTTTCCTTAAAGGGCAATCTGACTTCATATCTTTCACCATCAAATGTGATATCGTTTAAGAATTTGTCATAAACAGCTGGCTCATTCGACTTTATTCCAAGAGATTCTAAGTCCCAGAATGTTTTGATATCTTGTTCAAGTGTGTTCTCTTGAACAACTTCAGATACTACCCTTAGAACATGGGTCTCACTAAGATTCACAGTCGACTCATTTGTACAGCTTTCACCTTGAACAGGACCTGATAGAACATAACCCAATTTGGTACTCAATGCAACTGGACCCGAAGCAGAATCACTACGAACAACTTCCCCAGAGACTAACGACCAATAATAATCAGCACCAATTAATAAATCGATATTCAGATCTGATGAGTGGGTTATGTCATCTGCCAACTTCAATGATTGTAAATGACTGTACTGATGTTGATGCAAATTAATGGATTGGTTACTAATGGGTGAACAGATGGTGGGCACAACGTAGGCAGTAACATAAACTCCTTCCCTACTTGGAGTCTTGATCGGTAGTTGGACAATGTCACACTTCCTCAGTTGGGCATGCGACTCGCCAAAGGTTTTTATCAACAAGGTATCACTACCACTCGAAGGGAGGCCTAGGGATTTCTGGAG